GCCATATATAGGCGACAGCCACGCCAACAGTTTTAGTGTCCTTGATTGTGCTAGAGGCTTTTGGCAGATACAAAACACAAGTTGGCCTTCATTACACCCAATGGTGTTTTTAATGGAATCGCCTCCCTTTTGGGCTCAATGTTGCTGCTGTGGCATCTCGGCAAACCTTTTCAAGCACTAAAAGAAATTAAATGGCTTAACATATTACTTACTATATGTAGATGACATCATAATATTTTCTAAAAAGTTTTCAGAACATTTGAATCACCTCAAGGCAGTATTCCAAAAGATCAAAGAAGCAGGACTCACTCTAAAACCAAGCAAATGGAAATTTGCCACAAAACAAGTCACCTACTTAGGGCATATCTTCAGCAAAGATGGCATCCATGTCGATAAACTTCAAAAATAGATTCAGTTACACAGATCCTACCCACTACAAATGTCAATGACATGCATCATTTCTTAGGTTTGGCCTCGTTAATCTGTAGCAAACTTTTCTGGCATCGCCTCCCCTCTATACAACTTTCTGAAAGCAGAATGGTCCAACAATTACCAACAGGCAATCGAAAAGCTAAAGAAAGCCCTTACAACATCCCCCATCCATGGATGTTCCGACCAAAACAAACCTGTATCTTCACATCTGATGCATCTAAAAATGCAAAAGGGCGCCGGAACATTTTAGGCCTACTTGATTCTCATGGCATAACATGTTAATTCATGTCTTTTGTCAATACAAGTATCTTCCTTGATATTGGCCCTGTTCTGTTTTTAGGAACAAACAATGTTGGTTGGTAACGTTTCTTTTGCTCGTCAGATAAGATTATTCCAAATAAGGGTAAATGAGGCTTAATGGGCATTTCAGAGTCAACAACTGCTTCAGTCCTATCAAAGAGGGACAAGTGGAGTCAATGACCTTTTCCAAGGTGAGGTGAAATTGGGTTTAACGTCGCGTCCAAGATTATTGCACTTATATAGCGACGTGCATGCACGTGTGTGTGTGTGGCTGCTTGTACTAGACCAGACTGGTGCCGATTTATAGTGCTAGCCCACTGAGATACCATTCCGCAGTTTAACATGAATACCCCACTCAGACACAGTATACTGACTCCGAGCCGACCAGTCCTTGCATTAACCCCTTAATGCCGAGCGCAAGACAGGGTAACAACAAGTACCATCTTTTAACGTCTTTTGGTATGACGCGGCCGGGGATGGAACTCCGGACATTCCTCTCTCCAGGCGGATACAACACAGTGACTTGCATGATATGGTCTCTTGAATGGAAGATTTGAAATGATAATTAATAAATTGGGAATACAAACATATTGCCTCTCATGGTGATGATTCTCTGTCAAGGACCATGGCTTTGCTCACGAAATACTCTGTACTGATGAGGATGGCCATATTGCGGTCGAGACTTTTTATTGAGGCAGAGGGGCAGTTTGGTAGCCTAGTGGTTAAAGCTATCGCTCGTCACGCGGCGTAAAACCATACTCACTCACTATTGAGGCAGAGCTATTTCTTTTCAATCAATTGGAGGCTGTTTTTTTTATTTACACAAAATTACGAGGTGTGTTCTATTCCTTACGATGTACAGCCCCGTACACGGAACCGTTTAAACGTATTCCTTCTCAAACCATAATGATCCGCCACTACGTCTGTTCGAGTGAGTGAGTATGGTTTTACGCCGCTTTTAGCAATATTCCAGCAATATCACGGCGGGGGACACCAGAAATGGGCTTCACACATTGTACCCATGTCGGGAATCGAACCCGGGCGTGACGAGCGAAGGCTTTAACCACTAGGCTACCCGACCGCCCCTACGTCTGTTCGACCACCAAACAGTACGAATATCGTTCATTTCTTTACGTTTAAACCAACGTGCATGGGTCATTGTGAAAACCCACAGAGTAACGCGACTCCTTTGCCAACACAGAACAGCTATAAACTGCAACTGTTTGTTTTGCAGTTTAACGCCGCACTCAACAATATCCCCGCTATATATGGCGTCGGCACGTGAATAATAGTCTGCACCAGACAATCCACTAACATATTACTGTGAGTAATGAATGACCCATGTTGTCGGGGTACGATGACACGTCATCAACCAACAAATCACCGAGCTGATCGATCCATCATGTCGCCTCTTATGACCTCTTATGGCTGTTGGGGGACCTCCTCTCACCCGGAATCCCCGCCGGGAGGGCTGCAACGGCAGAAGACGATGATGCCCAGAAATAGGTGGTGGCATTTCTTTCATCAAGGAGTATTGGGGAATACTGGTCCAAGCGGTGTTAAACCTATTGCGCTTCCCTGGTGATAATGGTTAATCGTGTGTACATAAACAGATCTATTCCGGGACAAGCCGAATGTAGGTTACGGAAACGTGCGAGTAGTGACGAATGAGAATTCGATGGTCATGAGTTTGAATCCCGTTTCGTTCCGTTTTTATTTGTTTGTCAGCACCATGACAGTGCCCGTGGATTTAATTGGTTGGTTGGTTTGTTGTTTGCAGTATTCCAGCTATATGACGGTGGTCTGTAAATAATCGAATCTGGACCAGACAACCCAGTGATTTATATCATGAACATCGATCCACGTAATTGGGATCGATGACATGCATCAACCAAGCCAGCGAGCCTGACCACCCGATCCCGTTAGTCGCCTCTTACGACAAGCATAGTCGCCTTTTACAGCAAGCATGGGTTGCTGAAGACCTATTCTACCCTTCACGGGTCCGTGGATTTAATTGGGTTATAAATAAAACGGCATCTCAGCAAAACGTCACCGATTGGCGAAAACGTCACCTCGTTAGGCGTGGCGACGTTTTCGCCAATCGGTGCCGAAAACGGCTACTAATGCCTGGCGAAAACGACACCTTATTTTATTTTTTTTTATCTTATCGTTATATAAAATAGAGGTGCCGTTTTCGCCAAATGAGGTGCCGTTTTCGCCCGAGACATCGGTGACGTTTTGCTGAGATGCCGTTTTAGCTTGTACCCGACTAAACTTGGGTTTTTAGCGTCCATGGCTTTCATTCCAAATTAAGCTGACACGCCTTTACAGAACTGAAATACTGTTCAAAGCGGCGTTAAATCAAACTCATTCATTAACTATTCAATTTACCAGTTTCATTGTGGTAAACGTGCATATAGTTTCATTGCAAATAATAGTATCAACTGATAAATATAAGACAATAACACAGAGTCTGACCCCGGTGAAGCAAACTGCATATTTATCAGAGGTGAGGTGAGGTGAAATTGGGTTTAACGTCGCGTCCAAGATTATTGCACTTATATAGCGACGTGCATGCACGTGTATGTGTGTGTGTGGCTGCTTGTACTAGTCCGGACTGAGATACCATGCCGCAGTTTAACATGAATACCCCACTCAGACACAGTATACTGACTCCGAGCCGACCAGTCCTTGTTTTAGCCCCTTATTGCCGAGCGCCAGACAGGGTAACAAGAAGTTCAATCTTTTAACGTCTTTTTGTATGACGCGGCCCGGGATCGAACCCTGGACCTTCCGCTCTCCGGGCGGACGCTCTACCACAAGACCACGGAGGCGGTCCATATTTATCAGAACACCGGCGGCTTGTTATATATTCTTGTACAGTAATGTCGCAACACTGCCTATTTGGATGGGGCTGCAAGGGGATTGAAGTGAAAGACAGGCATCGGTGTAGCAAGGCGTTATTGTCCCCACGTACGTCGGATTATTAATACTATAATACTCCAGTCAACTCCCCCAACAAATAGGCGGTTAAATTTCATGATAATTTCCATGTATTGGATCATTGAAAGAAGGGGTATTTGTCAGTGATCATGGCAGGAAACAACTCTGTATCACCAACTCAAGGTCACTCAAACATAATTGATTGTGGTAGGGCTTGGAGGGGTAAATCGGGTACTCGGGTCGGGTGGGTCCTGAGTAGAACCCAGGTACCCACAGTACTACCCGGACCCGTGGTTAGTCACGTGACATATTGTTTAATGACAAAAACTCACTTTTACTCAGTGGTTACACTACAAGTCGCTAATGTTCCCATTTCTTTATGATGATGCACACATTCCTTTTTACTTGTATATGTTTGAGTAAAGATAAAGCTTCAGTTAACTTCAGTGTACGCATGATTCGATCGTTTCATAAGAGACCATGTATCTATTGTATGGTTTCTGGTTTCATACATGTATCTAAACAGTTTTTGCCAGGGCTACAGTTAAACTATTCCCAATTGGACATTTTGTTCCAAACTCTTGAGATCCACAGTGGGTACCCGGGTAGGGTCGGGTGATAGGGGGTTGGGTACGCGGGTAAGAAATCTGGACTCGTCCCAGCCCTAGATTGTAGGGATTTTCACTTCATCACCTCCATCAGATGTCCATGTTTCTTCCTTTCTCCATTCCATGTTTTGTTTGCCGTTTCATCAACTTCATATCAGATCATATATATCACTCTGCTGACAATATAAACTCAACAGTTTTTCGACAGTTATAAACACAAACATATATTCGTTAGCTCGACTCTGTTTTCATCAGGAACGTTACGTATATCATTACATAATTTTAATGTTAATAATCTCAGAAAGAAAAATGTACAAGATAAAGAAAGTAGTTTATGCCGTTATTGTAATGAAGGCTATGTTGAGGATGAGTTTCATGTACTTCTCATTTGTAAATATTATCAGTTTCTTAGAAATAGATACCTCCTTATGATTTCAACTATGTACAAAGATGAACAACTGATGAAAAACTTGTTGAACTCCCGCAATGCTAATACAATATCATCTCTGTCAATATTCCTGAAGAAGATTTTTGAAATTAGACGTTAATGTTATATGTAAACTTATTATTACCTACTCGTGACTGTACAATGTTGATAAAAAAAAAACCAACACTTCTGTACTATAGGTCATATATGGCCTAAAATATTGAATAAACTTCTGTCTGTCTGTTAGAGTTGTCTCCCCTTGACGACTCTTTGGCGTCACGAACTAAAGAAATCTATTTCCTGTTATTACCGGAAGTAAGAAATAAGACGTATGATAGCTGCAAATAATTTGCAACAAAGTCTGTTCCCGAAAATTTGAAATAGGACCAACGCGATTAATTGATGTCTGACGAAAGTCACAACACTAAAGACTAGCATCATGTAATGTCAGATAATACCACGTGACAACGGGTGATATAGACTTGACACGGTTCAGGTGTTGAGTGAGTTATGCACGAAAACATGGCATCCCTCGAATAAACTAAAACTGGCTACCTATAAGTAATCGTATTTTTGAGTCACAGGTCAATCTCATTGACATCATGGATGAGCTACAGAAGCTGGAGTATCTGTCTTTGGTGTCCAAAGTATGCACAGAGTTAGAAAACCATCTTGGGATAAATGATAAAGATTTGGGTAAGTGTCCCTACTGTTTTCAAATAATCCTTGAATAAGGGATAAGCATGGTACGCAATATCATCGGTGTAGTTAATTTATAATGGATCATAATGGCGCACGGTAATTAACCTATTAAATATATCATACGTAATATGTTTCTTGTTCTTTTTTCAACTTTTATGTTTTATGACACATCAGTTAGAATTTATCGAGTTAGGTAAACCCCAAACCTGTTATTAGCTTCAGGACAGGCAACCATACGGGTTATAGCGAAAACGGCACCGATTGGCGAAAACGGCACCGATTGGCGAAAACGGCACCTCGACTCGAGCGAAAACGGCACCTTATTTTTTTTTTTACCTTGGTCAAATGAATGATATTAAACTTACATTGTAACTTGCAAAGACCAATAATTGTGAGATGTTAAAACAAGTTTACATTAGAAATTAGCCTCTGCTCCAACTATAATCCAACTTAGCTTATACGCAACTCAACTTATGGTGAAAACATAACATGCTTTGACGAAAGATAATAGAAATTAAACTCACATCGTCTCTTACAAACACAAATAATTGTGAAATAAATCAAATGAGAAATTAGCCCCCTACTCCAATTTACTCACCGACTTTTATTCACTATACGCTTTGAAGTTTTAAGTACCTTTACTCAATTTAAGCTGAAACTGTATTTAAGAGGCCTAACATGGTGCTGTCAGATCACAATTATTCACAATGGCCTTTCGATGTGTTGCATGCGAGAAGAATGACAGAAAAAAAAAATCAACATGCTGTATCATGTGATAACTGTGACCAGTGGAACCGGACTTTCTATGGCCCGTTATAGAGAAATTTGCCGTACTGACTTCCCTTTCCGCTGTGTGAAATGCGTAGCTCCCGTCATTGAAGAGGTTTGGTAACTTTCATGACAGTTTCCAGTCAGAAGATGCTGAAGAAATGAGAGTACCAAACCTATCGGAAATTCACATTACCGCTTCAGATGTACTCAATACATCAAATACCATGTAAATAAACCCTATATATTACTACAAAAATTGTTGTTATCGTTATTAAACATAGAGGTTCCGTTTTCGCCCGACACATAGTAGCCGTTTTCGCCAAATGCGGTGCCGTTTTCGCCAGAGAAATCGGTGACGTTTTGCTGAGGTGCCGTTTTAGCCTGCACCCCAACTATACTATCGCGGTTTCACTTTATTGCTGTGTGATATCACGGACCTATATATACAAGTCCGTGGTGATATGCATGGAATATGTGGTTTTATATCATTTTTTGGATTATACACATTCACTTAAATCAGTGTGCATATGATCTAGGTTGGGCAACAAGTCCTGTGTTTGATCAAACGATGAAATATCGTGATGAGTTTTGCGTAAGTAAACAGTCGACAAAGGGGGTGGATTATGAGATTAGCTGATGCTGTGATAATATAGAGCATGCAATAATATAGAGTCAAACTATAGTTGTCAGATTGTGCCTTGTTTATGCCTGTTATGATTCATTGCGACGCAAATTTGCCATGAACACGGTAACTGCAAGCTTATAACTACCAGATTCTTTGTCGCCTATAACATGCATAATGCTCAGTAGAGCATATATGGCATGAACATGATGAATATTGTTAAATTAACTAATTAGCTTTTGTCTTTTTGATGACAATGATGTGACAGTATACCATGGCACACAGGACTATTAGTAAATGTTCCATTTTTTGGTAATATTGCTACTAAACATGTAAGACTATGAACAATGAATGTCATACATATTGAGAATGTTTTTCAGTTTTATATGTTTAAAAATACAGGATATGTTTTTAACATTTTTAGTATGTTGGTAATAATTGAACTCATAATGACTTTCTGTAATTTGGGTTTCAGCTGAATATGTGATTGATCTCGCTGAGAAACATGACACATTTGAAAAATTCAAGAAAGCCTTGGATGAACGAGATGCACAGTTCTCAGTGAGTAGAAAGCTACTTATCATGCTTATTGTCAATACTTGACAGGCTTGTATACAAAACATTTTTCTATCACCCATGAATACACAAAGCTGCTTGGAGATGTAGTGGGGATGCATGTTTATTGTGGAGTCTAATGAATTACCGTATTCGACGTAATAAGCGCCCAGGGCGTTCTCAAAATTAGAAATAGGGGGCTCTTAGTAGAATGTTATTTTGGTGAAAAAAACAGAGTTGAAAGATAAATTTTGTGGTTTATGCTGATGGCCTGACTGTTTATATACGACAGATATATTTTTCCAGAATTTAATTGCCCATAATTAAGGGTGCATTTAACACACGAGTGCGTATTAGACACAAATAAATGAGTCTTGTGTACATTGATCAATCGGAAGGGGTGCTAATTGGGATTGTTCACAAGCCAATATCTTAGCAAATGTTGCTGTGGGCGCTTATTAGAGCAGGGCGCTTATTACGTCGAATTCGGTATGTCCATGTACAACTCACGGAAGTCGAATCTGCCCTTCTCTGTTTTGGGAGGCCTCCCACCATTGACTGACACTGATGCAATATGTAGAGCCAGTCATGGTCACGAAGCAAGAGGTATAAGACGTCTTTATTTTTTAACCCTAAAAGAAACATTTAACACAACTTGACCTTTGAACAACATTTCTCTATTATTAGTGTGACTAGGTTGCTTATGAAAAGTAGTTGGATGTTTTCTGTGATATTAATAGTTAAGATCTTGACTTTTTCAGGACTCTCTCATTGCTAATCTTCTACGTCTCATCAAGAAGATGAAGCCCAAGGTGAAGGAGCCTGAGATAGCTGATGAGAAGAACGCCTCCGATGAGACAGACATGAGGAAAGCTCTGTATCCCGGCCTGGCGATGCCCAATAATCCAGAAGTCAGGGTAGGCTGTCTTACGTGATATGACTGGAATACTGCACAAAGCTGAGTTAAATATCACTCTCAAGTCTTTGGGGAGATATGCAGGACTTTACTTTGTCTGGGGTGTGTGTCCAATTGTCTAAGGTGCAGTGGTTAACTGTGCAGGGCTATTCTCTCACTCACTCACTCACTCACTCACTCTAAGAAGTCTTTGGGAGAGATATGCAGGACTTTACTTTGTCTTGGGTGTGTGTCCAGTTGTCTAAGGTGCAGTGGTTAACTGTGCAGGACTGTTCCATGCCAAAATCCAGTGGTAGGTTTGAATCCCATATTCACTACCTCGTGATTCTTGGTTTGTTGGCTGATTGATCCATATTCACTACCTCGTGATTCTTGGTTTGTTAGCTGATTGATCGGGGTAAAAGTACATGTCCCTTGCATTAAGCTGACACACTGTATGAATCTCCTAAGCAGTGATAACCTCACTCACTATGTCCTTATTCAGTCAACAATCCAAGCAACTTGCCTCAGCCTTTCATATTGTACACTTTCAGAAAATGCTTGATGGAGAGGTGAGCACAAAGAAGATAGAAGTGAAGACTGAGGTGGTTACGGAGGAGAACGGCAAGGGCTGGGGTCGAGGTGGAGATCAGAAAGTGGCATCACAGATGATGGACGAGCTGGAGGCGCTCCTCGGGGGCAAGCTGCCGGTCAAGGAGGAGACAAGGTACTGTACTTCTCTTTAGTCACATAACCATCATCAGGATGTCACAATCTTGAAAGTGTCACATGTCTAGTTGAGGGCATTGGTGTGGCATATCAGTTACACTTTTGCTTGATAAAAACCCTCCGGTATTCCTCCCTGATCTGCCCATAACTTTTTACACAATCCTACCACCCCTAACCAACTACCTAACCTCTTCTCACCTACTCCCAGTTGCAGGATAACAGTGTGGTTAAAGCAGGCCTGTGAAGATCCGGGGTAGACTAGGTCTTCAGCAAACCATGCTTGCTGTAAAAGGCGACTATGCTTGTCACAAGAGGCGACTAAAGGGATCGGGTGGTCAGGCTCGCTGACTTGGTTGATGCATGTCATCGTATCCCAATTTCGCATATTGATGCTCATGATGTCAATCGCTGGATTGTCTGGTCAAGACTCGATTATTTACAGACCGCCGTCATATAGCTGGAATATTGCTGAGTGCGGCGTTAAACAACAAACAATCAAAATCATTGAATACGGTTTTAATAAGGGCCCCCCTCTGTCAGCTTTCTAGTGGATCAAAGTGCTTATAACAAATACGGTAACTCATCACGCTAAAGGCCCAGATTCAAATCCCCACATGGCACAATGTATAAAGCCCATTCTGGTGTCCTCCACCCAGTGATATTGCTTGAACAATATTCCATTCTCCATCACTCTGTTTGAAGATAACGATGAAAGTCAACTGGGCCCCGTTCCACCAAACGATCTTAGCCCTAAGATGATCGTAACTCTTATACTTTAACATTGGCTTACGATTGTCATAGTGCTAAGTTCGTTTTGTGGAACGGGACCCAGGTCCTTAATTTGTAGCCATCTTCTTTCTTGACACCCATCTTCCAGTGGCAAGGATGCTGATTGACAATAAAAGTCCAGTTTCCACCCTTGCCGAACTAGGCTGGAATTTCATGGCTCGGTCGTAGCGCCATCAGTGGCTATTATGAGTTATGTCCCTTCTATGTCCCACCTATTGACCAATCAGATTCCACCTCTCATACCACTTGCCTTTGCTTCAAACAAGATGGAAGCGCCCAGTCAAGACGATCTGATCGATAATCAGGTCTTCTTTTGTAATAAAACCGGTCTTACCTTGTGAAGTGCATCAAATTATTTGAGCACCTTGATGAAAAACATGAAAATATTGGGAAAATATCTGTTGACGCCCAGTTGACGGTACACATGATTTGCAAATCCTGCAGTCGATGAAAATTTGCAGGTTCATTTCCATGTTGTTTATCATGTTTATGAACGGGATGTCTAGGTTGTTATGAGATCTAGGGGAGGTCGGGTCTTGTGGTTAAAGCGTTTACTTGTTACACTGAAGACCCGGGTTCGATTCCCGGCATAGGTGTGATGTGTGAAGCCCATTTCTGGTGTACCCAGCCGTGATATTGCTGGAATATTGCTAAAAACGGCATAAACACGTCCTCACTCACTCACTCACTCACTCACTCACTCACTCACTCACTCACTCACTGTTATGAGATTTTGACTGGACTATGCACAGGCTCGTTAGCGCAGCCAAAATGTAACTCACTCACTCACTCACTCACTCACTCACTCACTCACTCACTCACTCACTCACTCACTCACTCACTCACTCACTCACTCACTCACTCACTCACTCACTCACTCACTCACTCACTCACTCACTCACTCACTCACTCACTCACTCACTCACTCACTCACTCACTCACTCACTCACTCACTCACTCACTCACTCACTCACTCACTCACTCACTCACTCACTCACTCACTCACTCACTCACTCACTCACTCACTCACTCACTCACTCACTCACTCACTCACTCACTCACTCACTCACTCACTCACTCACTCACTCACTCACTCACTCACTCACTCACTCACTCACTCACTCACTCACTCACTCACTCACTCACTCACTCACTCACTCACTCACTCACTCACTCACTCACTCACTCACTCACTCACTCACTCACTCACTCACTCACTCACTCACTCACTCACTCACTCACTCACTCACTCACTCACTCACTCACTCACTCACTCACTCACTCACTCACTCACTCACTCACTCACTCACTCACTCACTCACTCACTCACTCACTCACTCACTGTTATGAGATTTTGACTGGACTATGCACAGGCTCGTTAGCCCAGCCAAAATGTAACTCTGGAATTTTAACCTAGTTTGGCAAGGGTGGAAACTGGACTTCTATAGTTGGTTAACTCCCTTGCCTCAGGAAGATGGTCACCATGATCATCAACAGGTTTTATGATCACCTTTGATGGGCTTGTGTAACACAGGTTACTCTGATATCTATTTGAGAAACTAGTTGTTTTACAAGTAACATGCAGTCAAGATGGTATACTGATAGTTATCTCACTTGTATTGTGTTCAATATAGGAATTCCACTGTAAAATATTAAGGTCATATGTTACTTCGGGTCCTTGGGTATTGCTTTGCTTCCTGTAAATGGAGATCCGTGAAGATTCCGGGGTAGAATAGGTCTTCAGCAACCCATACTTGCCGTAAAAGGCGACTATGCTTGTTGTAAAAGGCAACTAATAGGATCGGGTGGTCAGGCTCGCTGACTTGGTTGTTGCATGTCATCGATCCAAATTGCGTGGATCGATGCTCATGATGTCAATCACTGGATTGTCTGGTACAGACTCGATTATTTTACAGACCGCCGTCATATCTATAGCTGGAATATTGCTGAGTGTGGCGTTAAACAACAAACAAACAAAAATCCTGTAAGTGGAATGTTAGAATCAGTGTTTCTTGGCCTAGGTATGCTGTGTTCAAACACTCTGGCATAAACATTTCTAACACTGTCTTGTATTTTTCACAGGACAGAGAAGGCAGAAAAGAAAAGGAGAAAAAGTCGAAGTCGAAGCCGCAGTAGAGAGAAAAAGAAGTAAGTACAAATGCACTGAACAGTCTTACCTTTGAGTAGTGAAAAGTAGGTCACTTCGACCTAGCTGAAGACCTGTGACATTGCTTACAATACAATAGGTCACTATGACCAAGCTGGAATATTGCCGACTGTGCAATAGGCATCCTTGGTACGTAGACTTGTCCTTATTGTGTTTCTTGTGAGGAGAGAAATTGAGAGAGAAAATATGTTAAATTTGTTTTTCTTCAACAGAAAAAAACGTGACCGAGATCGATCTCGTGAGAGACGAAGATCCAGGAGTAGGTCACGTGATCGTCATCGTTCCCGTAGTCGGAGTCGAGAGAAACGTCGCCGGTCCAGGAGTCGAGACAGAGATAGACACAGAGACAAAGAAAGAGACAGAGATCGAGACACAAAGAAGCGAGACCGAGATCGAGACAAAACTAGAGATAAAGACAAGTACAATGACATCCCAATGGAGCCAGTGGTGGCACAGGTAGGCGATGGTTGCTTCTCTGAAAGGGAGACCTGAGCCATTTTGTTTCAGGGCATCATCGTGCCCATCTAAGAGTTTTGTGTAAAGGCCAAAATATTTCCATGCCTTGGTGAACTGTAGTACTATGAACAAATCAGGTGGTCCTTAACTTTCTTTGGGTAAAATATTTCAGTATTTACTAGAAGAATTGATTTTTTACAAATGAATTCTGGTCCACCAACTCCAACTGGTCTACCTCACCCACACCCTATATACAGTCAAGTCTCGTCAATCCGACACTCGTTAATCCGACACTCGTTAATCCGACACTCGGCTTTATCCGACACAAATGATGGGAACCGATTGAATCAGTGCTATTTAGTCCCGTTAATCCGACATTCTCGCACTCCGACTCCGACACACCTAATTTGCAACGAATTACCGAAATCACTCATTAATCAGTCTCGTTAATCCGACACAGTGATCAGCGTACTCCGTGGTCATCTGACCGCGAGTACACAACCCCGTGTTTTGACACGCACTGGCTGCAGAGATTAACTTAACAATTAACAGGAAAAGCTATTCAAACCTGTATCTACAAAGCAGGTATGTATTTTAAGTAGATGAAGCAAGTTGTTAAGACAGTAGCACTTGCATCTACACGAGGAAACGTATGTCGTTGATCATGTGATAAATTCAGTGAGTAATGTCTCTATTGTTATGCATAAATGGGAAAATTATTATTATTTTTGCACAGTCATTAATTATAAATTAAGGAATGAATGAATAAACAACAAAACAATATTAATATTTCGTTTTTAATGATTTTATTACAAGGTACACACGGTTATTATCTATCGTGAAGACGTCCGATTTTCGATCACAAATCACTTAATTTCGTTAATCCGACATACTCGTTAATCCGACACAATCATGTGCAACCAACGATGTCTGATTAACGAGACTTGACTGTACTATCATTAAAATTTGTTCATATTTATTAATGTAAAAACTTCAAAACACAATAAATTTTGACAAATTGCCTTTTCCTCCCACCACAACATTTATACATAAAACTTTTATACCTATACATATATTTGAAATTTGATTTTGTTTTATGTTATATTTTTTTCGACCTGCTGACCAGAATGTTTGGGCCAAATAAAGTCTGGCCTGATGAAGTCTGACATTTTGTTTGTGAAATGCTGTAGTCACAGAAGAGTTGTCTCCCTTCAGGTGTACCACGGCAAGGTGACGACCATCATGCAGTTTGGATGTTTTGTTCAACTGGAAGGCCTGAGGAAGAGATGGGAGGGTCTTGTACACATATCTCAGGTAAGTAACTGTTGTTAGTTCCACAACTTTTCAAGAATTTCTCCTTCTTCTGTTGGTCTTGGTGTGGACACGCTCAAAAACAAAGTTTCCAACTTTAAAAAAACATGGAATGTTATTTATATACAATTTATTGTAATATTTTTGTTGTTGTGCATATCATCATTTTCCATTCTTTTGAATGTATATATTTGATGCTTGCATTCACAACATCTTCTCATATAACTGACCATTCTCACAGCTGCGCCGAGAAGGGAGAGTGACCAACGTGAGCGATGTGGTCAGTCGAGGCCAGAAGGTCCTGGTCAAGGTGCTGTCCTTCACCGGCAACAAGACGAGTCTGTCCATGAAGGTAGGCACCCGCTGGAGCCACATTGTGGCAGCCGGTCATATCTAAAACAATTAATGATGAATGGTACGATATCATGAACTAGGGACTTATCCAGACCTGATTTGAGGCCGATATTTAGCCCAAAGCCAATCTCATTAAAATCAGACCTCAGTTCATGCTACCGCTAAACAAAGATCTCAGGACATCCCATTAGGGGCCACGTCAGAACGACCTTTCATCCGACCAATCAGAGCGTCGCTTACCAGATTATGAAAGTGACAGTCGGAATGTGATTTCTAATCATGCAACCTCGAAAACTTTAATTCCGAACGATAGTTACGGGTTTAACGACTGAATCCATACAATCTAGACCATCTATTAGCCATTCCAGAATGTTCTTTTGTTCAGGTTTCAAATTTGTAATCGAGAATTTGTCAAAATATGTTTCGAAGGGTAGTCGCCAATTTGAAATTAGTGCCGTAAAGCACGAGAAAGCTGCCTTCTGATTGGTCATTCCATTGGTCGGTCAAAGTTCGGGCAAGGTCGGTCTGACGTGACCCGTAATGGGATGTCCTCAGATCTTTGTTTAGCGGTAGGGAGAACTAAGACCTGATTTTAATGAGATTGGCCCAAAGTCAGGAGGAAATGTTGGTAAAACTACTCAAGATTGGAATAAAACATTCCCAATTCATGCTGTTATAGTTACAACTAATGTTATGACTTTGTAGGGGTGAGGGGGCATGAAATGTATCATTCAATGTTAAAACACCCCAGATTTTAGGAAAACAACTTTGAACAAAATAACAATTGTTTCGTAATTTTCCTGCTATGGGCACCTGGTTTCCAATCCTGGATAAATCCCTGCATGCCCTCTTTGCATATTAATATTTGCTAGTGGTTCACGATACAATACATCAATTTACAACCCCTGTATCTCACTCCCATCTCACTCCCATCTCGCTCAGGATGTTGACCAAGACACAGGGGAGGACCTCAACCCCACCAGGAGTCGCAACATCGGCGGTGATGTTGGAGGAGATGACATCGAGGCCCGCAACCCTGACAGGCCGTCCACAATACCGCTCGTGGATGCTCCTGAGAATGATGACGTCTCTACAGACAGGAAGACCTTCAAGCGAATCTCATCGCCAGAGCGATGGGAGATCAAACAAATGATGGCGGCTAGCTGTATAGACAAGTCTCAGCTTCCGGACTTTGATGAGGAAGTCGGACTGCTGCCGAAGGAGGATGACTCAGGTGGGGACGTGTTTCTAGTTCGGGGATAACTTGTTTGTAGTCTGGGGAGCACTTGTTTGTAGTTCATAGAGCACTTGTTTGTAGTTCAAGGGGCACATGTTTCGTGGTTTCTTGGTACACCTGTTTGTAGTTCAAGGAACGTTTGTTTTGTAGTTAAGGGGCACATGTTTTGTTGTACAGTGGACACTTGTTTATTGTTCAGGGGCATATGTTTTGTATTTCTGGGGACACTTGTTTGTAGTTCAGGGGCACATGTTTTGTAGTTCTGGGGACACTTGTTTGTAGTTCAGGGGCACATGTTTTGTAGTTCTGGGGACACTTGTTTGTAGTTCAGGGGCACATGTTTTGTAGTTCTGGGGAAACTTGTTTGTAGTTCAGGGGCACATGTTTTGTAGTAAAGGAACCCTTTTTTATGTAGTTCAGGGGGCACTTGTTGGGCACAATGTAGTTGGGTCTGTTTTGAGCATAAGCGCAACTGGTGATTTCTAAGAAACTTTGTCCAAAGCATACCACTTATGCCCCCTCATCCACCACTACAAAAAATGAATGGTACAACACAATCCCCCAAAAATTAATAAATATGCGGATTAGTTTCATTTGCCCTTGACCTACGAACATCACAACATATGCAGATGAGCTTTTTAAAGTTTGTTATTCCCCCACCCAATGACAAGAATTTTTCACAACCATATTTCTAAACCTGGACTCATCATGGTGAAGAAATATTTCTCACAACTTTGTAGGTAATGAAGCTTTTGTGTTACTTGCTGTCCTCCCTCCAATATTCCTTCTGTCACTCAATCCTCTCCCGCTAATGCTGCTGCTTGTCTCCACAGATGAGGATGTGGAGGTGGAACTGGTAGAGGAGGAACCGCCCTTCCTTCAGGGTCATGGTCGGCACTGGGTCGACCTCAGTCCTGTCAAGATTGTCAAGGTTTGGTCACCGCTCATTGAGGGCGGTCGGGTAGCCTTGTAGCTAAAGCATTCGTTCGTCACGCCGAAGACCCGGGTTCGAATCCCGACATGGGTACAATGTGTTTTGGACGGGTTTGAATAAAATCAATGCGATTGGGGATGAAGTACTTACAAATTGCTACAAGAAGCAGCTGTAAATGTGCTTAAAAATAAGGATTGTAGCAGGATGAGTATGCAGCATATACAGTAAACTACAGTTATTCTGAACTCAAAGGGACCACTCATATTACTTCGTAATAACCGTGACCCGTGAAGATCCAGGATAGAATAGGTCTTCAGCAGCCCATGCTGGCGACTACCGTATTTTCTTGAGTATAGTGCGCACCCATGTATAATGTGCACCCCCCTCTAGCGGATTCAATATTTTGGAAAAAAAAGAAATTTGAATATTATGCGCAGAAAAAAATTACAACGTACCCCTTCAGTGAAGTCCGGCAAACGAACGGGTGATGAGAAACTTTGTCAGTACAAATTCGAAATTTAAGATAAAAAATCACCAGACATGTTGATTTACCGTTTAAATTGTATTTTTTGTTCTACTAGGCATTGTTTTATATCCAGGGATTAAGATTACCATGTGTATTTTCTTGTAAACTAAGCCGGACACAGGAATCAGCTGTACACACGTTTTCTTGGAATCTACCGGTGTTTCGGTCAAGACACACCCAATGATTTAACTTTACAGTATTTTTAATGCAAGGATCGGCAAAAATTGTATCTGAAACTTTTTTTTTTATCAGGAATAATATATTCAAATATCTTGTTAATTAATAATGCAGCTTTTACTAAACATATTTAAAATAATAATAACCCTAAGCGAGGCAGCTGGTCGCTATTGCCGGTTATTATTTTTTACATGGAACCAGTCTGACCATTCACCGTCAAGGCTCCCGTGCACGTGATCGCGAGAATTATGTGTTGACATAGAATCGTCTAACAAAAACAAATATGACTTTTAACGATTCAAAGTATGGCATTTATGATACATGTATCCATTCTCTGCCAACTAAAGTTCGTTTCAAGGTGTCAGTAGCGGTAATCTGACCGTGGTTGCTGTTAATACCGGTGAGTTGTGCGATCTTCCGATCGCTTCACACACGATTTCGCCGAAATTAATTAAAACAATATTAAAAGGAATTTTGAATAAAGTTAACGAAATAAGTTACAAACATAAGTCCAGATATACAAAGAACACTTTTTATAGCCAGACAGTGTAATTACATGACTAATTTGCGTACTTCAGTATGGATTTGTTGACATGGTATTTCCGGTGCGCACTATACTCAAGAAAATACGATATGCTTGTCGTAAAAGGGCGACTAACGGGATCGGGTGGTCAGGCTCACTGACTTGGTAAAAGGCGACTATGCTTGTCGTTAAAGGCAACCAGCGTATCGGGTTGTCAGACTTGCTGACTTGGTTGATGCATGTCATCGTATCCCAATTGCGTGGATCGATGCTCATGATGTCAATCACTGGATCTGGTCCAGACTCGATTATTTACAGACCGCCGTCATATAGCTGGAATATTGCTGAGTGGGGCGTAAAACAACAAACAAACAAATCGTAATAACCGTAGTTTGTTATAAGCATATATACAACAAATGGCCTGGACTAAGTTCGTTATATCAATCAGTTCGTTATAGGAGTGTTCTTTATAAACGTAGTTTACTGTATGCTGTGGTCAGATTCCTGTGAAGTCCCCTGTGGGTATTCCAGGTTGAAAATGGTCCCCAGTGGTGACTAAATGGATCGGGTTGTCAGATTTGATGATATTTTTTTCTCAGCGTCAGAGTACCCTGACACAATCTCATTAAAATCAGATATAAGTTTTCGCTACCGCCAAACAAAGATCTGAGGACATCCCATTACGGGTCACGTCATTACGACCTTTCACGAATTTTGACTGACCAATGAAATGACTGACAAGAAATCGACATTAGCCAATCAGAAGGCAGCTTTCTTGAGCTTTACGACACTAGTTTCAAACAGGCGACTTAGCTTCGAAACATATTTTGACGTATTCTCGATTAAAAAAATTAAAACTGATAAGAAGAACATTCTGGAATGGCTTATAGATGCCTAGATTGTATGAATATAATCATAAAACCCGTAACTGTCGTTCGGAATACCCCTTGTTAAATATTTCGTGGTTGCATGATTAGAAAACACATTCCGACTGTCACTTTCATAATCTGGTAAGCGACGCTGGGATTGGTTGGATGAAAGGTCGTTCTGACGTGACCCATGATGGGATGTCCTCAGATCTTTGTTTAGCAGTAGCGAGAACTAAGATCTGATTTTAATGAGATTGACCCTGACAGCATTGATCGTTGCTCACAACATCAATCACTGGATTGTCTGATCCAGGCTTAATTATTTACAGGCCATTGTCATATTGCTTGAATATTTAGTATGGCGCCAAACAGCAAACAACTACGGCAAACACCATATGAAGACACCAACCCTTATCTGGCAGAAATGAATAAAATAGAAATAAGCAAATATTGGTGACTGCAGATTGATTTACGATATATCAACTTTCAGAATCCTGATGGTTCTCTGGCGCAGTCGGCCATGATGCAGAGTGCGCTACAGAAGGAGCGGAGGGAGTTGAAGCAGGCGCAGAGAGAAGCGGAGATGGACTCCGTGCCAGCCGGACTCAACAACCACTGGATCGACCCCATGCCTGAAAGTAAGATACCGTTGTCCTTTCCTGACCTGCATTAACACTCGTCATAGATATATTTCAAATTAGAGATAGAATTATGACCAAATATCCTGAGACCACATCCCCAAAAGTTCCTACCTTAAACATCGTGACATATTGTCAGCTCCAGTTTTATTGATTCAAGTCTTTGACACTCACTACGAAGTTTGAAAAACTTAAAGACATTACATTTTCGTGAATAACAACTTCTATATTGTTTGTCAGGCCACACATTTTTTATTTTTTGTTTCATGGGCCATCCATCCCGAATGAAAAGCAGCCCGTCTAAGAAATAAATTAAACATAAAAATATTTATTTTTATTATGTCTTCCGCTAGTAATAGACCCTCAATATCAAATGTTATATATATTCCATTTGTACACTACTATCAGTGATTCAAGAGGCCATCTGCAGTTTTTTACCTCCCCAGCAGAATGACTTACAAATAAATAAATAAATAAATAAATAAATAAATAAATAAATAAATAAACATGAATGAATGAATGAATGAATGGATGAATGAATGAATGAATGAATGAATGAATGAATGAATGAATGAATGAATGAATGAATGAATGAATGAATGAATGAATGAATGAATGAATGAATGAATGAATGAATTTTATTTCAAACAACCTTGTGTGGCAAAGCTGGAATAAATTCGTGAAACTTAAGATTAAAAATGTGTGGCCTTATGACATTACAGGGCTAATGTTGCCTCTTCATTGGGTGAACACTGAGCAAGTGTATATTGACTTGATAACATGACGGCTGAATCAGTATTTGACCCTTGAAGGGGCAAGAAAGATCCATGAAATGTTGCTACAAACAATAAAGAAGTTGTTATTTATAAAATGTCTCGTGTTCATATGTCATGTTTGGGACCGCCTCCGTGGTCTAGTGGTAGAGCATCTGCCAGGAGAGCGGAAGGTCCGGGGTTCAATCCCCGACCGCGTCATACCAAAAGACGTTAAAAGATGGTACTTGTTGTTACCCTGTCTGGCGCTCGGCATTAAGGGGCTAGAGCAAGGACTGGTCTGAGTGGAGTATTCATGTTAAACTGCGGCATGGTGTCTCAGTGGGCTAGCACTATAATTCGGCATCAATCCGGACTAGTACAAGCAGCCACACAAGCGCACACACGTTCATGCACGTCGCTATATAAGTGCAATAATCTTGGACGCGATGTTAAACCCCATTTCACCTCACCACCTCACCTCATGTTTGGCTTTGTAGAAGGCATGAGTCCTTATCAAACAACAAGGGTTCTATTCCTCCATAAACCTTAGAGATAGTTTGACAATGAAAGTCTACTATGCTTTCTATACTAACATAAATAGAACAATCTGTTCTAGGGCAATTACTATGGTTACATTCTGAAGCCAATGACATAGAACAAATGTATTTTGTTTCTTCTAATTATCACATCCTCAAATATCCAGGGAAATGTGTACAATGTTTTATTTGTAGACATAATTCAGGCCTTGATAATCATACGTTGAGGATGGCCTTTTGACTGTGAATATGTGTACAGGTGATGGACGAAAGCTGGCTGCGAACATGCGTGGTGTGGGGATGGCCCCGAACGACGTCCCTGAGTGGAAGAAACACATCACGGGGGGCGCGAAGGCGTCGTACGGCAAGAAGGAGAAGAAGTCCCTCCTGGAACAGCGGCAGAGTCTGCCCATCTTCAAACTGAAGGATGAACTCTCCAAGGTAAGGGAGACAACTCTTGAGCTGATGCACTAGATAGAAGGGGAATTCTGATGGTGTCACTTACAATATGAAAATGACCATTGATTGGCTTTGCAATATCCTTAATTATCCAGTGTATAATAGGGGGCACAGGTGGCCCAGTCATCTGAGGCGCCGCAATTCGCTGTGCAGAGTTGTGTCCCTTGGTCACGCCAGAAACCTATGATTGTGGGTTCGAATTCCGGTTCACCCTGATTATGTTTCTAGGTTTGTCAGCACCATACCCGTGCTCATGGGTTTCACCGAAGTGGTAAACGTCCGAGACCTGCATCACTTCGGGCTTTCCTCCCACATAAAGCTGACACGCCGTGATATAACTGGAATATTGTTAAAAGCCAACTCACTCACTCACTCAGTGTATCATAATGTCTCCATTTTTATCCTGGACCATTGACTGCTATAGCTTTGTGTTGAGCTGTATGCGAATAGTAATAGCTGTCCATTCTAATGACATTTATAACGAACTCACTTATAATGAACTGACTGATATAACAAACTTAGTTTTTAGTCCCGGCCATTTGTTGTATATATACTGTATATATGCTGTATATATGCTGTATATAAGCTTATAATGAACTACGATTGGTCCCTTCGAGTTCCTTATAACCATAGTTTACTGTATTCTAAATAGCAAATTTCTGCACTGGATAGGAGCGTGGAGGTGGTAAGATTGGTGTGGATAAGCCCAGGGTATTTGTAATAGACTTGAGATTTACTATGCTGGACAGTCGAGGATGACCTTCCAAGGGTAAGGGAGACAACTCTCATCTTGATTCGATGTCCTACTGGGTCCAGGTAGTTTGTTGGAAATAGTTGACAAAAATAGGCTGAATCATCAAAATGAATAATATAACTGATGACTCACAAATAATTGATCATAGTCCTGCTATTTTGTCATCTATGATCATACACATTTCAATTCAGACAGACAGACAAAATACAAAAGTCCAAAACATTCACTCAACCGTTTCACGAATGTGATTTATAAATATTTATATATATATATACACACACATGCACACAACACTAATAAAAACATGATAAGCTACTGTATGGAAAGGAACGTTCTCATATTTTTAAGGCCAAAGATTTTTTATCTTTTGAAATTAGCCCAGTTGTGATGCTGTGTTGGAATTGCTCCCTATCTCTTCCTGGTCGCAACAGGTTAGACTCTGCAACTTAGTGGATTGCGTGTCTTTGGACCGCGCTGCTGATCAGTATCGATCACTGAATTGTCAAGTCCAGACTCAAGTATTTTGGGGCCACTGTCATATGGTTTGAATATTACTTAATGTTCGGAGGCGGTTGTGAGGATAGTGGTTGAAGCATTGGCTCGTCGCGCCGAAGACCCGGGTTCGATTCCCCACATGGGTACAAAGTGTGAAGCCCATTTTCCAGTGTCCCTGCTGTGATATTGCTGGAATATTGTTAAAAATGACGTAAAACCATACTCACTCACTCACTTAATGTTCAGTGTTAAGCAAATAAACAAAACAAATTGAAATTAACAGATGTAACTTTGTCTGCAGGCGGTCAATGACAACCAGATATTGATCGTGATCGGAGAGACTGGTTCAGGGAAGACAACTCAGATCACACAGTACTTGGCCGAGGTGGGCTACACCACGAGGGGGAAGATCGGCTGTACACAACCCAGGAGAGTGGCAGCCATGTCGGTGGCCAAGCGAGTATCAGAGGAGTTTGGTTGCCGTCTCGGACAGGAGGTCAGTAATCTGCAGTTTCAGACAACATCTTTGTTGGGTCTAAGACCACTTTGCACCAAATAATACCTGCTGACATTATTGTCTTTTAACTTTGAAAGGGGCGGTGGGGTAGCCTAGTGGTTAAAGCGTTTGCTCGTCGTGCTGAAGACCCAGGTTTGATTCCCACATGGGTACAATTTAAGAAGCCCATTTTCCAGGGTCCCTGCGGCGATATTGCTGAAATATTGCTAAAATCGATGTAAAACCATACTCACTCACTATAATTTTGATGAGGATAAGTAAATATATTTAATATTCTAGGGTATTGAAAATGTTTCCTCACATTTTCCTGATATATTTATGAGTTTGTGATTATTACACATTTCCAGATTTGTTCATTTAGCAAACATTGATTTTTCTGACAATCACAAAATTTGATTATTTAAAGACCACTGTCATACAGCTAGAAAATTGCCAAGTGCATCGTTAAACACGAAACCAAGAAAGATGCAGATGTGACCATGTCCCATGTCATCAGGAGTTTGTTCACTTGTCCTGACTGTTTTTGCACAGGTTGGCTACACCATTCGTTTTGAGGACTGTACGAGCCCCGAGACGAAGATCAAGTACATGACAGACGGTATGCTGCTGCGAGAGTGTCTGATCGACCCTGACCTTGTCCAGTACTCCATCATCATGTTGGACGAAGCCCATGAGAGGACCATCCATACGGATGTCTTGTTCGGACTTCTTAAAGCTGTGAGTCTCCTTGAGCAGCATCGTTTCAGAACCTGGGGCTAGGGATGTTACCGGGACTGTAACAAGGGCTGTAACAAAGGCTTTAACAAAGGCTGTAACAAGGGCTTTAACAAAAGCTGTAGCAAGGGATGTCACAGAGGCTGTAACAAGGGCTGTAAGAAAGGCTTTAACAAATGCTGTAGCAAGGGCTGTAACAGAGGCTGTAGCAAGGGATGTCACAGAGGCTGTAACAAGGGCTGTAACAAAGGCTTTAACAAATGCTGTAGCAAGGGCTGTAACAGAGGCTGTAGCAAGGGATGTCACAGAGGCTGTAACAAGGGCTGTAAGAAAGGCTCTAACAAGGGATGTAACAAGGGCTGTAACAAGGGCTTTAACAAAGGCTGTAACAAGGGCTTTAACAAATGCTGTAGCAAGGGCTGTAACAGAGGCTGTAGCAAGGGATGTAACAAGGGCTTTAACAAATGCTGTAGCAAGGGCTGTAACAGAGGCTGTAGCAAGGGATGTCACAGAGGCTGTAACAAGGGCTGTAAGAAAGGCTCTAACAAGGGATGTAACAAGGGCTGTAACAAGGGCTTTAACAAAGGCTGTAACAAGGGCTTTAACAAATGCTGTAGCAAGGGCTGTAACAGAGGCTGTAGCAAGGGATGTAACAAGGGCTTTAACAAATGCTGTAGCAAGGGCTGTAACAGAGGCTGTAGCAAGGGATGTAACAAGGGCTTTAACAAGTGATGTAACAAAGGCTGTAACAAGGGCTGTAGCAAGGGCTGTAACAAGGGCTGTAGCCTGTAGCAAGGGCTTTAACAAGGGCTGTAGCAAGGGCTGTAACAAGGGATGTAACAAAGGCTGTAACAAGCGATGTAACAACCAACATGACATGTTCAAGTAATACACACACACTACTATATCATTAGGACTACATTGTGAAAATTATCCTGATACAGTTAAGCTGATTTAAGTCCAAGCAGCAATAACAAATACCTTTCCAAATATTACATCCTTTAGACAGACATAAAAGTTGAATATTTCTTGTTTCCCTGCTGTGGTATTGCTGGAATATTGCTACGTGTGGAGTAAGACCATCTAGTTTGGGATAACTTTATCTCAACATACCCTTTCAATCCATCACAGTTGGAGTCCTAGGAATTGTCTATGACTCTTTGCAGCTTCAGTATAAAGATGATGTTTTGTCTTTTCAGGCTGTGAAGAAAAGGCCGGAGTTGAAGTTGATAGTGACGTCGGCCACCCTTGATGCTGTCAAGTTCTCACAGTACTTCTTTGAAGCTGTAAGTCATCACTTTTAGGCAATACGTCCCAGTAGTTGTACAAGTGCAGAGTCTGTGTGATGTGGGGGCACAGGTGGCCCAGTTGTCTAAGGCGCCGCGATTCGCTGTGCAGAGTTGTGTCCCTTGGGCACGCCAGAAACCTATGATTGTGGGTTCGAATCCCGGTTCGCCCGATTTTGTTCTCGGTTTTTCAGCACCATACCCGTGCTTGTGGGTTTCACTGAAGTGGTAAACGTCTGAGACCTGCATCACTTCGGGCTTTCCTCCCACATTAAGCTGACACGCCGTAATATAACTGGAATACTGTTAAAAGCAGCCGATCTTTCAGAAAATCACATTTTGTGCAGAACTCTTGTAGAATTTTGCATTTATGTGCCATAGAACTCATAAAAATACGCTGCAGAATTTTAACATGTGGATCGAAAGCTGGTTATGAACTATATTTTTTCCTTTTCAACTGTAACATTGCTGCCTACAGTCATACAGCTGTAACATTGGTGCCTACAGTCATACAGCTGTAACATTGCTGCCTACAGTCATACAGCTGTAACATTGCTGCCTACAGTCATACAGCTGTAACATTGGTGCCTACAGTCATACAGCTGTAACATTGCTGCCTACAGTCATACAGCTGTAACATTGCTGCCTACAGTCATACAGCTGTAACATTGGTGCCTACAGTCATACAGCTGTAACATAGGTGCCTACAGTCATACAGCTGTAACATTGCTGCCTACAATCATACAGCTGTAACATTGCAGGCTACAGTCAGACAGTTGTAACATTGCTGCCTACAGTCATACAGCTGTAACATTGCTGCCTACAGTCATACAGCTGTAACATTGCTGCCTACAGTCAGACAGTTGTAACATTGCAGGCTACAGTCAGACAGTTGTAACATTGCTGCCTACAGTCATACAGCTGTAACATTGGTGCCTACAGTCATACAGCTGTAACATTGGTGCCTACAGTCATACAGCTGTAACATTGCTGCCTAGTCATACAGCTGTAACATTGCTGCCTACAGTCATACAGCTGTAACATAGGTGTCTACAGTCATACAGCTGTAACATTGCTGCCTACAGTCATACAGCTGTAACATTGCTGCCTACAGTCATACAGCTGTAACATTGCTGCCTACAGTCATACAGCTGTAACATTGCTGCCTACAGTCATACAGCTGTAACATTGCAGGCTACAGTCAGACAGTTGTAACATTGCTGCCTACTGTCTTACAGCTGTAACATTGGTGCCTACAGTCAGACAGTTGTAACATTGCAGGCTACAGTCAGACAGTTGTAACATTGCTGCCTACAGTCATACAGCTGTAACATTGCTGCCTACAGTCATACAGCTGTAACATTGGTGCCTACAGTCATACAGCTGTAACATAGGTGCCTACAGTCATACAGCTGTAACATTGCTGCCTACAGTCATACAGCTGTAACATTGCTGCCTACTGTCATACAGCTGTAACATTGCAGGCTACAGTCAGACAGCTGTAACATTGCTGCCTACAGTCATACAGCTGTAACATTGCTTCCTACAGTCATACAGTTGTAACATAGGTGCCTACAGTCATACAGCTGTAACATTGCTGCCTACAGTCATACAGCTGTAACATTGCTGTCTACAGTCATACAGCTGTAACATTGCTGCCTACAGTCATACAGCTGTAACATTGCAGGCTACCCTCATATAGCTGTAACATTGCAGGCTACAGTCAGACAGTTGTAACATTGGTGCCTACGCTGTTATGGGTCATCTGCTTCTTTGTGCAGCCAATCTTCACGATCCCCGGGCGAACATACCCAGTGGAAATCCTGTACACCAAAGAGGCAGAGACCGACTACCTGGACGCATCCATGATCACCGTCATGCAGATCCACCTGACAGAACCTCCAGGTGAGCACTTCCACCTGGCTCCAAGTAGTGCTGACTCAGTGATTACACATGGACACCTGGCTCCAAGTAGTGCTGACTCAGTGATTACACATGGACACCTGGCTCCAAGTAGTGCTGACTCAGTGATTACACATAGACACCTTGCTCCAAGTAGTGCTGACTTAGTGCTGACACATAGACACCTGTCTCCAAGTAGTGCTGACTTAGTGATTACACATAGACACCTGGCTCCAAGTAGTGCTGACTCAGGGATTACACATAGACACCTGGCTCCAAGTAGTGCTGACTGAGTGATTACACATAGACACCTGGCTCTAAGTAGTGCTGACTGAGTGATTACACATAGACACCTGGCTCCAAGTAGTGCTGACTTAGTGATTACACATAGACACCTGGCTCCAAGTAGTGCTGACTGAGTGATTACACATAGACACCTGGCTCCAAGTAGTGCTGACTTAGTGATTACACATAGACACCTGGCTCCAAGTAGTGCTGACTGAGTGATTACACATAGACACCTGGCTCCAAGTAGTGCTGACTGAGTGATTACACATAGACACCTGGCTCCAAGTAGTGCTGACTGAGTGATTACACATAGACACCTGGCTCCAAGTAGTGCTGACTGAGTGATTACACATAGACACCTGGCTCCAAGTAGTGCTGACTTAGTGATTACACATAGACACCTGGCTCCAAGTAGTGCTGACTGAGTGATTACACATGGACACCTGGCTCCAAGTAGTGCTGACTGAGTGATTACACATAGACACCTGGCTCAAAGTAGTGCTGACTTAGTGATTACACATAGACACCTGGCTCCAAGTAGTGCTGACTTAGTGATTACACATAGACACCTGGCTCCAAGTAGTGCTGACTGAGTGATTACACATAGACACCTGGCTCCAAGTAGTGCTGACTGAGTGATTACACATAGACACCTGGCTCCAAGTAGTGCTGACTGAGTGATTACACATAGACACCTGGCTCCAAGTAGTGCTGACTTAGTGATTACACATAGACACCTGGCTCCAAGTAGTGCTGACTTAGTGATTACACATAGACACCTGGCTCCAAGTAGTGCTGACTGAGTGATTACACATGGACACCTGGCTCCAAGTAGTGCTGACTCAGGGATTACACATAGACACCTGGCTCCAAGTAGTGCTGACTTAGTGATTACACATAGACACCTGGCTCCAAGTAGTGCTGACTGAGTGATTACACATAGACACCTGGCTCCAAGTAGTGCTGACTGAGTGATTACACATAGACACCTGGCTCAAAGTAGTGCTGACTGAGTGATTACACATAGACACCTGGCTCCAAGTAGTGCTGACTTAGTGATTACACATAGACACCTGGCTCCAAGTAGTGCTGACTGAGTGATTACACATAGACACCTTGCTCCAAGTAGTGCTGACTGAGTGATTACACATAGACACCTGGCTCCAAGTAGTGCTGACTGAGTGATTACACATAGACACCTGGCTCCAAGTAGTGCTGACTTAGTGATTACACATAGACACCTGGCTCCATGTAGTGCTGACTGAGTGATTACACATAGACACCTGGCTCCAAGTAGTGCTGACTGAGTGATTACACATAGACACCTGGCTCCAAGTAGTGCTGACTTAGTGATTACACATAGACACCTGGCTCCAAGTAGTGCTGACTGAGTGATTACACATAGACACCTGGCTCCAAGTAGTGCTGACTTAGTGATTACACATAGACACCTGGCTCCAAGTAGTGCTGACTTAGTGATTACACATAGACACCTGGCTCCAAGTAGTGCTGACTGAGTGATTACACATGGACACCTGGCTCCAAGTAGTGCTGACTGAGTGATTACACATGGACACCTGGCTCCAAGTAGTGCTGACTGAGTGATTACACATAGACACCTGGCTCCAAGTAGTGCTGACTGAGTGATTACACATAGACACCTGGCTCCAAGTAGTGCTGACTTAGTGATTACACATAGACACCTGGCTCCATGTAGTGCTGACTGAGTGATTACACATAGACACCTGGCTCTAAGTAGTGCTGACTGAGTGATTACACATAGACACCTGGCTCCAAGTAGTGCTGACTTAGTGATTACACATAGACACCTGGCTCCAAGTAGTGCTGACTGAGTGATTACACATAGACACCTGGCTCCAAGTAGTGCTGACTTAGTGATTACACATAGACACCTGGCTCCAAGTAGTGCTGACTTAGTGATTACACATAGACACATGGCTCTAAGTAGTGCTGACTTAGTGATTACACATAGACACCTGGCTCCAAGTAGTGCTGACTGAGTGATTACACATAGACACCTGGCTCCAAGTAGTGCTGACTTAGTGATTACACATAGACACCTGGCTCCAAGTAGTGCTGACTGAGTGATTACACATAGACACCTGGCTCTAAGTAGTGCTGACTTAGTGATTACACATAGACACCTGGCTCCAAGTAGTGCTGACTTAGTGATTACACATAGACACCTGGCTCCAAGTAGGACTGACTTAGTGATTACACATAGACACCTGGCTCCAAGTAGTGCTGACTTAGTGATTACACATAGACACCTGGCTCCAAGTAGGACTGACTTAGTGATTACACATAGACACCTGGCTCTAAGTAGTGCTGACTCAGGGATTAAGCATAGACACCTAGCTCTAAGTAGTGCTGACTCAGGGATTACACATAGACACCTGGCTCTAAGTAGTGCTGACTTAGTGATTACACATAGACACCTGGCTCTAAGTAGTGCTGACTCAGGGATTACACATAGACACCTGGCTCTAAGTAGTGCTGACTCAGGGATTACACATAGACACCTGGCTCTAAGTAGTGCTGACTTAGTGATTACACATAGACACCTGGCTCTGAGTAGTGATGACTTAGTGATTACACATAGGGAACACATTGATAAGTCAGTCGTGATCTGTGATTGATTTGACACACTTCACACTGTTAGGTGAACACAGTTGTATATTTCAATTAGGCCCTGGGGGCACAGGTGGTCCAGTAGTCTCAGGCGCCACGATTCGCTGTGCAGAGTTGCATCCCTTGGGCATGCCAGAAACCTATGATTGTGGCTTTGAATCCCAGTTGGCAGCTATTATGTTTCTAGGTTTGTCAGCACCATACCCGTGCTCGTGGGTTTCACCGAAGTGGTAAACGTCTAAACCTGCATCACTTCGAGCTTTCCTCCGACATTAAGCTGACACTCCCTAATTAAGAATTCACTTCAATATTTCTGTGCATATGGTGCGGATTTACACAAATTGTGCACACCAGTTTTTATGTATTTGACTCCAAAAAGACAAAAACATATCGTCAATTCTTACAAACGAAAACATCAACAAAAACTTCACAGACTGCTTGTTTAATCGTCAACACACACAAAAATGAAGGCAACAAAGCAGAATCAGAAACATCGTTCATCGCCGTAATGCAAGGCTCCTCCCATTCTATTATCAGCCAATCAGGAAACAGTAGTCCATTAGTTGGCATGGCCAAATGTCCTTTCAGTTGATGGAAACATAAACACAAAAATGTGCTTGGTTGGCCAACACAAATAACATGGAATCACTTGCTAGTTATGTCAATCGCTCTGTTCTTCATCTCTGTCCACCATGATGCCTGACTGTCTCTGTACCACACAGGCGACATCCTGCTCTTCCTTACTGGTCAGGAGGAGATCGACTCCGCATGCGAGATCCTCTACGAGCGGATGAAGGCCATGGGTCCCGAGGTACCCGACCTCATCATTCTCCCCGTGTACAGCGCCCTGCCCAGCGAGATGCAGACCAGAATCTTTGAACCGGCGCCACCTGGATCCAGGAAGGTTGTCATAGCAACCAACATTGCGGAGACGTCGCTGACGATTGATGGCATTTATTATGTGGTGGATCCTGGCTTTGTGAAACAGAAGGTGTACAACTCCAAGACGGGCATGGATCAGCTGATTGTCACGCCCATCTCACAGGTAGGGGGGACGACATGGGGAAATGGTGGAAACCGCCGTTGTTTTCGTGATATTTCTGAAACTTGGCATTTTGTTTACTATTGAAGTACTGATTATCATATTGGGATTTCTGTATGGTGACAGTTTGTACTGTGATATTTCAACAATATTCAGCATGGAACTTCCTCAAGATGCTCATCTACCATATTCAATATGCAGTGTTTGAAGTTAAGCATGAAACACAACGGTTCCTATAATAAGTTAACATCTACCCGGCGTTATCCTAATGTTAGTAAGTTAACATCTGGGCGGCGTTATCCTAAAGTTTATAAGTTAACATCTATGCGGCGTTATCCTTATGTTAATAAGTTAACCTCTACGTATCGTTATCCTAGTGTTTATAAGTTAAAATCTAGGTGGCATTATCCTTATGTTAATAAGTTAACATCTACGTATCGTTATCCTAGTGTTTATAAGTTAACATCTAGGTGGCATTATCCTTATGTTAATAAGTTAACATCTAGGCAGCGTTATCCTTATGTTAATAAGTTAACATCTAGGCAGCGTTATCCTTATGTTTATAAGTTAACATCTAGGCAGCGTTATCCTTATGTTGATAAGTTAACATCTAGGCGGCATTAGGGGGCACGGTTGGCCCAGTTGACTAAGGCTCCGCGATTTGCTATGCAGAGTTGCGTCCCTTGGGCACGCCAGAAACCTATGATTGTGGGTTCGAATCCCGGTTCGCCCCTATTATGTTTCTAGGTTTGTCAGCACCATACCAGTGCTCGTGGGTTTCACCGAAGTGGTAAACGTCTGAGACCTGCATCACTTCGGGCTTTCCTCCCACATTAAGCTGACACGCTGTGATAACTGGAATACTGTTAAAAGCGGCATTAAGCCCAACTCACTCACTCACTCTGGGCAGCATTATCCTTATGTTTATAAGTTACGACTAGGCGTTAATAAGTCTAGGCAGTGTCTAGATAAGAATACTGTAGAAGAAAATCCCAAGAGAACCATGACCCTGTTTATTTCCAACTGTTGTAACATTGTAACAAACACTGTAACACATTGTAACACACATTGCAGGCCCAGGCCAAGCAGCGAGCAGGCCGAGCCGGGAGGACCGGTCCGGGGAAGTGTTACCGTCTATACACGGAGCGAGCCTACCGAGACGAGATGCTGCCGACCAACGTCCCGGAGATCCAGCGCACCAACCTGGCCTCCACCGTGTTGTCCCTGAAGGCCATGGGCATCAATGACCTCCTGTCCTTTGACTTCATGGACGCGCCACCCATGCAGACGTTGATATCGGCCATGGAGCAGCTTCATGCCCTCAGTGCTCTGGACGATGAAGGATTGCTGACCAGGCTGGGCCGGAGGGTAAGGGGTCATTGTGTTAGATTCTATTCTTATTGTGTCATTATGCTCGAGAGTCAACCTCACACCAAGGTCGGGAAGCAGGAGAGGGTAGGGGGTCATTGTGTTAGATTCTATTCTTATTGTGTCATTGACTGAGAGAGTTCATTTTGCACCAAGGTCAGGAAGTGGTAGAGGGTAGGGGATCATTATACTAGATTGAATATCCGGGGTAGAATAAGTCTTAACAACCCTTGCTTGCCGTAAAAGGTGATTATGCTTGTCGTGAGGGGCGACTTACGGGATCGTGTGGTCAGACTTACTGACTTGATTGATGCATGTCATCATATCCCAATTGCGTGGATCGATGCTCATGATGTCAATCTGACTCAATTATTTACAGACCGCCTTCATATAGCTGAAATATTGCTGAATGCGGCGTTAAACAACAAACAAACAAATTTTATTGTGCCATTGAGCGAGAGAGACGCTCACTTCACACCAAGGTCGGGAAGAGGTAGACAGCTGGTGGTGCACTGGTCACATGACACCACGGGACACCATCCACGTATAGCTGTTCCCAGCTACCCCCGGCTAATGTTGAGACTTTTTACTTCTTTGAGGACTCCCCTTCCCGATGCAAGGGAGTTAACTGACTGTAAAAGTCCAGTTTCCACCCTTGCCGAACTAGGCTGGAATTTCTGGGCTTGATTGAAGTGCATCAAATCATGTGAGCACCTTGATTAACAACATGAAAAGATTTAGAAAATATCTGACGGTACACATGCTTTGCAAATCCTGCAATTGACCAAAATCTGCAAATTGCTGGAGTATTGCTGACTGTGGCGTTAAACAGCAAACAAAGTTTGCAATATGATTGCCTTGTTATCTAACAGTTAGAATTTTGGATAAGTAATAATGGTGATTGAGGCAGGTAGGGTAGCCTAGTGGTTAAAGTGTTCGCTCATCAGGACGAATACCAGGGTTCGATTCCCCACTTTGGCATAATGTGGTCATTTCTGGTGTGCCCTGCTGTCACATCGCTAGAATATTGCCCAAACAGCACAAAAATCATACTGACTGACTTACTCCCCCAGTTTATGATAAATGGTAATTATTGTCCCCTCTCCCCATCCCCAGATGGCCGAGTTCCCCCTGGAGCCCATGCTGTCCAAGATGCTGATCATGTCCGTCCACCTCACCTGCAGCGACGAGATCCTCACCATCGTCTCCATGCTGTCTGTACAGAACGTCTTCTACAGACCCAAGGTAAGGAAGGACAGACGACAGGAAAGTGTCAACATGGTGGACACACAAACTGGTCCAGGTGTCGACCCGTGAAGATCCGCAGAAGCATAGGTCTTCAGCAGCCCATGCTTGCCGTAAGAGGCGACTATGCTTGTCTTAAGAGGCAACTAATGGGATCAGGTAGTCAAGCATGCTGACTTGGTTGATGCATGTCATCGTATCCCAATTGCGTTGATCGATGCTCATGATGTCAATCACTGGATTGTCTGGTCCAGACTTGATTATTGACAGTCCACCATCTGATGGTGTTAAACAGCAAACAAACAAACAGGGTTGAAAATGCAGTAAAGTTTATGCTTCACTTTTGAATTATCTTGAATTTTGAAAATACCTTGAACATGTGAAACAAATAGTAATTTGACTTGAATTTTCATGCATTGTACTTAAAACTGAGCTTTAGAAGGTTGCGGTCAGTGCACATCATTTAACCACTGACCAGATTCTGTCCTAGGAACCTGTAATCTGTAACTATTTTACTCGCTATAATTTATGCAATACAGAACATTTATGTTGCTATTTAATTTTATTTGTCATTTATTAAAGGATGGGGGGTGACTTGGTCTTAGATATAATAAATGACCAGTCCCTAAATAATAATAAACCTTTTTATTAGAAATAATACAACTGTGTCATTTATTCATGCCCCCTCCCAACCATAAAGCTGTAATAAATTTGGCGACCCTCCCACTCCCCTCCATCTCTTTTGCTGAGTCACTTTTTCATGACATCCCCCCCCCCCCCCTTTAATCTGGGACTAGTAGACAAGCAAGATTTATTAAGGCTGGGTTACTGCACTGATGTGATCTCAGGCTTCAGGAATGTTATGGCTGTGTTTTAATCCCCACTGTAACAGGACAAGCAGGCTATAGCTGACCAGAAGAAGGCCAAGTTCCACCAGCCAGAGGGGGATCACTTGACTCTGCTGGCCGTGTACAATTCCTGGAAGAACAACAGGTTCGCCAGCCCTTGGTGCTACGAAAACTTCGTTCAGATCCGGACACTCAAACGAGCGCAGGACGTCCGCAAACAGATGCTGGGAATTATGGACAGGTTTGAACTTTGACCCTTCTCTAGGATCACAACGGCCTAGCTAGGTCGATGTGCTGTTGGGGCTATGACTGTCATGGGTCTGTTAAAGTATGGTAGCTATGAATTCACAATAGGCCGAGCGAGGTCGATGTGCTGTTGGGGCTATGACTGTCATGGGTCGTGAATTCACAATAGGCCGAGTGAGGTCGATGTGCTGTTGGGGCTATGACTGTCATGGGTCTGTTTAAGTATGGTTGCTGTGAATTCACAATAGGCCGAGTGAGGTCGATGTGCTGTTGGGGCTCTGACTGTCATGGGTCTGTTTAAGTATGGTAGCTGTGAATTCACAATAGGCCGAGTGAGGTCGATGTGCTGTTGGGGCTCTGACTGTCATGGGTCTGTTTAAGTATGGTTGCTGTGAATTCACAATAGGCCGAGTGAGGTCGATGTGCTGTTGGGGCTATGACTGTCATGGGTCTGTTTAAGTATGGTTGCTGTGAATTCACAATAGGCCGAGCGAGGTCGATGTGCTGTTGGGGCTATGACTGTCATGGGTCTGTTTAAGTATGGTTGCTGTGAATTCACAATAGGCCGAGCGAGGTCGATGTGCTGTTGGGGCTATGACTGTCATGGGTCTGTTTAAGTATGGTAGCTAGTTCACAATAGGCCGAGTGAGGTTGATGAGCTGTTGGGGCTATGACTGTTATGGGTCTGTTTAAGTATGGTAGCTAGTTCACAATAGGCTGAGTGAGGTTGTTGTGCTGTTGGGGCTATGACTGTCATGGGTCTGTTTAAGTATGGTAGCTAGTTCACAATAGGCTGAGCGAGGTCGATGTGCTGTTGGGGCTATGACTGTCATGGGTCTGTTTAAGTATGGTAGCTGTGAATTCACAATAGGCTGAGCGAGGTCGATGTGCTGTTGGGGCTATGACTGTCATGGGTCTGTTTAAGTATGGTAGCTAGTTCACAATAGGCTGAGCGAGGTCGATGTGCTGTTGGGGCTATGACTGTTATGGGTCTGTTTAAGTATGGTAGCTATGAATTCACAATAGGCCGAGTGAGGTTGGTGTGCTGTTGGGGCAATGACTGTCATGGGTCTGTTTAAGTATGGTAGCTGTGAATTCTCAACAGGTCTTTACTACAATGCAGTCTTAGTGCTAAGAAAATCGTAATTCCCACATTTAACCGCAATCTTATGACAGTCGTAGTGCTTAGATTGCTTAGAGAAACAGGACAGTTCCACAAATCTTTAGAAATTCTACAACTATCGTGTGTCTAATGTAAAGCATGGCAGCTACTATCATAATATTGGAGCTATGACTATCACAGTGGAGGACTACAATGGAGGGCAAGATTGCTAGTTCTATTATGGGCCACTATAGTTGACCTGTACAGGCTGAGGCCCATGTTGAGGCTGAGCTTTGTCCATTTAGTTTGTTAAAGGCTGCTTGATTGATGGAATCCTTATATATAGACTGTATGTACTTCACATCATAAAGATATGTGTGGGTATTTAGAAATAAGAAGTGTGGCCCAGGTGATCAGTGTGTATGTTAATGATGCTAACACTTTACAAATAATGACTCTTGATGATGCAGAGCTCCAGAAAACTTTATTTTAATTGGGTTATTACATTTTTCATTGGGTCACCAATATTTTTTCACTCATCTATTCATCACTCTATTGGGTTTTTCACAAAATTAGTGAACATTTTAAGATTTAAAAAATAAAGTTTTAGATGTATATAACTTTTTAAATGAAAGGCTTGACTCGAAAAGTAAATTTGCTCGTAATTGTGTTTCGGAAATTAGCTCCTTTGCACGCATGCTGAAAAAGCTTCATTGGGTACATATGTGAGCTGTTTTTATACATTTGAGTTTTTCATTTAATGCATGCATTTCAGTACACAAGTTGATTGAAAGTAATTGGGTTTTGAATATTTTTGGAGGGTATTTTACGCAAATACGTGGTTTATCTGTAGCTCTGTGATGTCAATATGTGAAAACAAGGACTCGAGGACCCGACCCCTGAGGTGTGCCGGTCAGACTGCCGAAGGTAGTTAGGCCCAGGATGTATTGTTTCGTCACCTGTTGTGGATTAACCAATGGAACTGCAAGGTTCTTAATACAGTTATAACATTTGGTGATGTTATTCGTTACTTCTTTGTAATTATGAACCACAAATCTTACCTCTCCACCTGCAGACATAAGCTGGACGTGGTGTCGTGTGGGAAGAACACGGCGCGGGTACAGAAGGCCATCTGTTCAGGTTTCTTCCGCAACGCGGCCAAGAAGGACCCGCAGGAGGGCTACAGGACGATAGTGGACAGCCAGGTGGTGTACATCCACCCCTCCAGCGCCCTCTTCAACAGACAGCCGGACTGGTAAGTGGGGCATGAGGTCTCCGAGGTCTGGGGGTCATGGTAACAGCCTCTGGTCCAGTGGTGTACATCCACCCCTCCAGCGCCCTCTTCAACAGACAGCCGGACTGGTAAGTGGGGCATGAGGTCTCCGAGGTCTGGGGGTCATAGGAACAGCCTCTGGTCCAGTGGATCTGCATCTGCCCCGAGATTGGGACGCTGTGGAGAGTTGCATCCAATGGGCACGCCAGAAACCTATGATTGTTGGTTCAAATCCCGATTTGCCCCGATTATGTTTCTAGGTTTGTCAGCACCATACCCGTGCTCGTGGGTTTCACCGAAGTGGTAAACGTGTGAGACCTGCATCACTTCGGGCTTTCCTCCCACATTAAGCTGACACGCCGTGATATAACTTGAATACTGTTAAAAGCGGCATTAAACCAAACTCACTCACTCACTCTAAGATGGTACTTGTTGTTACCCTGCCTGGCACTCAGCATTAAGGACTGGTCAGCTCAGAATCAGTATACTGTGTCTGCATGGGGTATTCATGTGGGCTAGCACTATAAAACCGTCATTAATCCAGACTAGTACAAGCAGCCATGCGGTTCCTCCACCCACCCACCCACACACACACAGACAGTAACACACACACACAGACAGTAACACACACACACAGACAGTAACACACACAGTCACAGACAGTAACACACACAGTGACAGTAACACACACACACAGTAACACACGCACATGCACGTAGCTATATATATAAGTACAATAACCTTGAACACGACATTAAATTCCATTTCACCTCGCCCCACCTCATGCCCTGTCTGAGTCTTGACCCTGTGTGTATCATTAACTTTTGGATTGATCTCCATCAATAAATTTGATTTTTGCAGAAACAAAGTGGTCTGTCAGCTACTTTCATTAAACTTCCAGGGGCTGCTAATTCATATAGTATTTCGACGTTTAGACCTCCTTACTATCTATAAAGAATAATACATCATCTCTCCCCAGTGCATTAAGTATGTACGTGAGGACTTACTGCATCGCTGTTTCAACACAAAGGGTTAAACTATGGTTGACAATGATTCTGATTAATTTGGCTGCATAAAAGGCCCTATCACCACTTACTATTTGGGATGTACCTACGATGATAATCATCGATACTTAGGTACACACGATACTTGAATTGTCATCGAAAGACACTGAAAGAGTTACCTCCCACAATGGCAGAAATAGCACATCACCACCTGTAAGCATGGCAGAACACATGGTAGCTGAGGACGAGGACTAACTGTTACATTTAATAACCATCCCTTCATTTAAACCTGTTTTGTTCTTGTGGTTTTCTTTGTTAAAGATTTTCAGATATCAATACGTAAATGTAGATGAAAGAGGTTTTGGAGCTGTATGTCAGTGATTTCATCTTATCTTACCATGGCTTAAAAAAATAAAAGAATTGGTTCTCAGGCAATGTTTTTTGAAAATATAGTGTGGGCGGGCGGTGTCTTTTTTTTCCTCCGGGTTTTTCAAACTAGTATGTGACCAATAAACAGTTGTGTAATCAATAAACAGTTGTGTACAATCAACCTTGGAAAGGGCCTGCCTACATAAATGTATTCCTTGATGAGTAAAATACTGGAATACACTATTTGACTAACGTTGGACTTTGAATATTTAAGGATTTTTTTTCGGTAAAAATCGAAATAACAACAAAATGTGCGGCAAACTTTATGATGATGCGGGCGGTGCCTGAGAACCAAGACTATTATAGTTTTTAGCCTATTTGATGTGATGTATCATGATACACATTGAAAAGCAAGATATCAGGCGATACTCAGCTCTAGTTACTAACGACTTGCCCTATGTCCACTTCCAGGGTGGTGTACCACGAGCTGGTCCTCACTACCAAGGAGTACATGAGAGAAGTGACGGCCATCGACCCCAAGTGGCTGGTGGAGTTCGCCTCCAAGTTCTTCAAGTTCTCCGACCCCACCAAGCTGAGCCGGCAGAAGAAACAGCAGAAGATCGAGCCCCTCTACAACAAGTACGAGGAACCCAACCAGTGGAGAATCTCACGGGCTTTCAGGAAGTTCCACACCAAAGTCACCTTCTAGACTGCGGCCTGGTTGTGTCAAGGCCCTTATGCTGCTGTCTTTGAACTGGAGGTCATTTTGTGGAGGTCATTCAACAATTTTCCATATGATGTGGATGTGTTTGCTGAAGAATACTTTTTATTAATTCATGTTTTTACCAAGCTTGTACATAATATTTTCTGTATAGATCTATGATCTATTCATCTTGTGCATATATCATCTTCATTAGTAGGGACGGGATCGGGTGGTCGGGCTCGCTTACTTGGTTGATGCATGTCATCGATCCCAATTGCGTGGATCGATGCTCATGTTGTCAATCACGTGATTGTCTGGTCCAGACTCGATTACTTACAGCTGGAATATTTCTGAGTGTGGCATTAAACAAAAAACAGACAAACAAACATTAGTAGTGAGGGTTGGACCCAGGAGGAATCCAGGTTAGATTTAGTCCCCGGGAACCTTTGCTGGTCATAAGAGAAGGTTGCACGGGTGGCCCAGTCGTCTAAGGTGCCGCGATTCGTCCCTTTGAGCACGTCAGAAACCTATGATTGTGGGTTTGAATCCTGGTTCCCCCCAATTATGTTTCTAGGTTTGTGAGCACCATACCCGTGCTCGTGGGTTTCACTGAAGTGGTAAACGTCTGAGACCTGCATCACTTCGGGCTTTCCTCCCACATTAAGCTGACACACCGTGATATAACTGGAATACTGTTAAAATAGGTGTTAAGCCCAACTCACTTACTTAATAGCTTAATAGATCGGGCAGTCAGGCTAGACTCTATTATTTACAGGCCCCAACATTTAGCTGGAATATTGCTGAATGTGCTTGAAGTGCAGTTAAACGATGTTAGCATTTGGGGTAAGAGTTGCCTCCCTTGTGCCAGGATTCAGTCACAGACTTGTCACTCATGATCCTTGGTCTGCCCAGAGATTTCATCATGTTAGTATTTCCTGACCTGTGCACTGCACTACCCTCTTACCTTAGGCCTGCCCACCCTGACTGGAATACTGTTCAAAGTGGCATTCAACCCAACTCCATCTTCCCGAGGCAAGATAGTTAACTGGCTTTCAAAGTCCAGTTTCCACCCTTGTTTCCACCCAGTTTACGAACCAGATGTCAATTTCCTTACGCGATTTTGATTGGACCTTAATTAAAAACATGAAAAGATTTGGAATATAAATTTATATGTTGACTCTAAATTGGCGGTACAGGTGCTTTGCAAATCCTGCAATCGACCCAAATCTATCCATGGCATATTACGACCCGGATGTCAATTTCCTTACGCGATTTTGATTGGACTATGCATAGACTCGTTAGTCCAGCCAAAATGTAACTCCATAATACAAGCCTAGTTCGGCAAGGGTGAGAACTGGACTTTTATAGTCAGTTAACTCTCTTGCCTTTGGGGAGATGCACAACTCACTCATTTACTTGTTTAGAGGTGTATAGCTCATTTACACATGTCGGATCAATACTTGTCATAGAAATGTTAAATAAAAACATGTAAATAGTATGAATGTGTGATGTTCTTATTGTAATAGGGCTGTGAGTATTTCAGGGGAGATAACTCTTACATGTTTATCTGGAAGTGTTCATCAAAGTAAAATGTCTTGTTGGTGTGGCATGCCAACATGGAGAAATTTTCTTCCCATTGTGTTAGAATTTTATTATCACATATTTGTTCTGAGCAGTTGATTGAAATGGGGATTTGATGGTCATAATGGGTGGTGTGTATGAATAATTTCTGAAGAACCAGGAGACTGATTGAGTGTAACCTTCTCTGCCCCTGTGGACCATCAGCTTTGGTTTGCTTCCTCCAAACTGGATGATGAACAGAGTTGTAATATTGCTATGTTCTCTAAAATACAACATTTACCAAGTTATGTCAAGCAATGATAATTTGAGAATATTGCAAATCGTGAATGCTCGTGTTAAGAGGCGACTTAATGAATGGGGTGACTTGGTTGATTGTGTATCAACATGGATTGTTACTCATAATGTCAATCGACCCCTGAAGACCCAGGGTAGAATAGGTCTTCAGCAACCCATGCTTGCTGTAAAAGGTGACTATGCTTGTCGTAAAAGGCGACTAACGGGATAGGGTGGTCAGGCTCGCTGACTTGGTTGATGCATGTCATCGTATCCCAATTGCGTGGATCGATGCTCACGATATCAATCACTGGATTGTCAGGTCCAGACTCAATTATTTACAGGCCGCCGTCATATAACTGGAATATTGCTGAGTGCCGCGTTAAACAACAAACAAACATAATGTCAATCACTGGATTGTCCGGCCCATACTCTATTATTTAAAGGCCACCATAATTTAGCTGAAATATTATTGAGTGGCCACTGTTCACCCCGGTGCCCGATCCGCTCTTCACCCTGATGTCCGATCCGCTCTTCACCTCGGTGCCCGATCCGGTCTTCACCTCGGTGCCCGATCCGCTCTTCACCCCGGTGCCCGATCCGCTCTTCACCTCGGTGCCCGATCCGGTCTTCACCTCGGTGCCCGATCCGGTCTTCACCTCGGTGCCCGATCCGCTTTTCACCCCAGTGCCCAATCCGATCCCCATAGGTGTGGAATCCCTCTTTTTAAAAATCTGATCAACCTTTAAAATCATCGTTTTGGTCACATACAAAAATATACTTCATTAACCTAGCCGTTTCAGGGAGTAAAACTGAGTAATTTGATTGACAGGGGTATGTGAGATCACAGGCCATAGCATAGGTCATAGGTCAATACTTCACATCTCTTTCCGACCGTACAAGATAACAAAGGTTATAAAAACATTATATGTTAAACATGGGATCTGGGTTTCAGATGTTGAAAATGTGACTATTTATTGCAGGTTACCGTAACTGACGAATGATAGACCAAGTCCATCTGACAAAATATATTCTCTGTCCAGCGAGTACGCAAGGACGGTATTATGAGGCAAGGAAAATCTATTCACCGATCCGATACGTAACCCATAAATGTTTTACCCGATGATATTACGTCTAACGCGCATACCCATGCATATAGAATGTCAGGACACTCAAAGCTCCGGGGTCCCGTGAAGATCCGGTTTAGAATAGGTCTTCAACAACTCATGCATGCCGTAAAAGGCGACTAACGGGTTCGGGTGGTCAGGCTTGGTCGATGCATGTCATCGTATTCCGTGAATCGATGCTCATGCGTTATGTGAATCACTGGATTGTCTGGTCCAGGCTCGATTAGTTACAGGCCGCTGGAATATTGTCAAGTGCGGCGTAAAACAAACAAACAGGGTATCATTTGTTAATATTCTTCACTCCAACAGTTATAGGACCCGTGAAGATCCGGGGTAGAATAGGTCTTTATCAATGCGTTCTTGCCGTAAAAGGCGACTATGCTTGTCGTAAGAGGCGATTAACGGGATCGAGTGGTCAGGCTCGCTGACTTGGTTGATGCATCATCGTATTCCGTGAATCGATGCTCATGATTTCCTTCACTGGATTGTCTAGTTCAGACTCGATTATTTACAGACCGCCGTCATATAGCTGGAATATTGCTGAGTGATGTGTTAAACAACAAACAAACAAACAAATCACAGTAATAGAGATACGGGGGCTGATTGATAAGTTCTAAGCCTCACATACAATAGAATGAATTGCGTAATTGTGGATTTTTTTGTTGTGGACATTAATGACGTCACCGAAGTATATCCACAAACACAATATCGATTGAGCAAAATGTTTCGTTGTGACAAGTCAGTAATATAATCAGGTTCTGTGACCTTTGTTAAAGGGCAAGTTCACACGGATATTTAACCTGTTTTTCTTGTACTTTTTCCACTTTAAAAGTGTTAACCTAGAAGTGTCATAGACAAAAATATAAAAATATCACAATTAATTAACATATTTCTCGCATTAAAACGATTTATATTTTTCACATTTACCAAGTGTTCTATTTCCACAACAAAAACACCATGGCTTATGCCCCTTGCAATATGACGTCATTGGTGCCAATTGATAAACATTATGACGTCATCATGCTTTGTTAGAGCCGCTTCACGTGGTGTAGGTCTAGGTGTGTGATTCTAGCGTCTCAGATGCCAGCCAGCATAGTGTTATGCTGAGTCACCACTGCGCCGGAGTGTGTCGTAGGCCATGTTGTTTTACCGCAAACTGGTACTTGATATCTTTTGCGTTGAGAATAGACAGGGACCCAGTTGAATTGGCACCAATTACGTCATAATCTAAGGGGGATAACTCAGGCCTGTTTAGCTCGAAAAACGAAGGCCTCATAACGGCATATCATTTTCACACTATTGTGAGCTTCCTACTTTCACTGTGAAAAAAATGAGTGTATATTTTCAAACACAGATACTAATTAATTCTAAAATTGCGTTTTGTTTAGAAAAAGAAAGAAAGTGATTTTTGCGTGTACACTTCCCCTTTAAGTGGACAACCATGAGGAACGTGCAAACATCCAGTTCCAGGTTAGCCCTAGACGCCGGTTCTAACCAATGCGTGTGGACCAATCATATAAAACTTGGATCCCAGTTCTCACTACCACAAAACAAAGCTTGTTAACGTCTTTTGATCTGACGCAGACGGGTCAGACTCTCTAGTCTATATGTATACACAATGGAGGCTCGTCACGCCGACGACCGCCTCCATGGTCTTGTGGTAGAGCGTCTGCTCGGAGAGCGGAAGGTCCGGGGTTCGATCCCCCGCCGCGTCATACCAAAAGACGTTAAAAGATGGTACTTGTTGTTACCCTGTCTGGCGCTCGGCATTAAGAGGCTTAAACAAGGACTGGTCGGCTCGGAGTCAGTATACTGTGTCTGAGTGGGGTATTCATGTTAAACTGCGGCATGGTATCTCAGTGGGCTAGCACTATAAATCGGCATCATTCCGGACTAGTACAAGCAGCCACACAAACACACACACGTACATGCACGTCGCTATATAAGTGCAATAATCTTGGACGCGACGTTAAACCCAATTTCACCTCACCTCGTCACGCCGAAGACCCGGGTTCGATTACCAACATGGGTACAATGTGTGAAGCACATTTCTGGTGTCCCCGCCGTGATATTGCGTAAAACCATACTCACTCACTCACAATGGAGGCGGTCTGAGGGGTTCTAGTTATTCCAGTAGTAGAAAACTATTACTCTCAACAGTCGTGTGACCATGTCCACTCTAAAGTCTAGTCGTAGTAATAAATACAATGAACGAAACAGACACTGTCTGTGCAGTGCCTGTGATCTTTCATTATTTGATTACAACGGATCATATAGCTTCAGTTCACAGACAATCAAACTGGTGTTTGTCTTGTATCATACTTGGGCGGTGGGGTAGCCCAGTGGTTCGTCAGGCCGAAGACCTGGGTTCGATTCCCCATAAGGGTTCGATTCTCCATAAGGGTACAATATGTGAAGCCCATTTCTGGTGTCCCGCCGCTGAGATATTGCTGGAATATTGCTAAACGCGGCGTAAAACCATACTCACTCACATTATCCCGCGCCTACCAGCCCTTCGTCAATGTGCCCTGGCAACAACCAAACCGCTTTCAACATTGCTCAATAACGTTGGAGAAAACTAGATTAATAAATGAAAATCACATGTGAAATTTAGTTCTCAAAGTGGGGCGGTCGGGTAGCCCAGTGGTTAAAGCGTTCGCTCGTCACGCCGAAGACCCGGGTTCGATTCCCGACATGGATACAATGTGTGAAGCCCATTTCTGGTGTCCCCCGCCGTGATATTGCTGGAATATTGCTAAAAGCGGCGTAAAACTATACTCACTCACTCACTAGTTCTCAAAGTTGATTGGTTCGATACGCCAGCAGGAACCTGTGTCGATCTTCAACGCTTTTTCCTGCTCTGATCGTAAACCAAGTAATAACTATAAGAAACACTTTAAAAAAAAATAAAAATGAAAATCACAATACGTGCACGCATGACGCGTAGGCAACGGGCCTTCCCTTTGGACGAAATGTCAGGAAGCATATCGCATGACCTTGACAACAGTGGCGGTATGGCTTACGCGTTCTGGAATAAAAGGTGCTGTATTGTTAAGTTTAGTTAGTGGTATATGACGTGGTCGTGGCGTGGTGTAGGGTATATTTGTCTTTTGTTTATCGTTGCCAATCAGTGACTGGTTTAGGCCTTGTATAGATGAAAGGGTATTTTGTGATGGTATTTTGCGTGTTCATTTTGATATGAGTTTTGTACATTGATAAATGTGACATGTATGATTTATTTCCCCATTACAGTGTGATGTGGGCTGTAGTGTAGTGCTGTGTGTGAGCGTGTGTGTCGAGTTGTATATTTGGTGTGTGTCGAGGGGTGTGTGTGTGTGAGCGTGTGTGTCGAGTTGTGTATTTGGTGTGTGTCGAGCTGTGTGTGTGTGTGTGTGTCGCTGTGTCGAGGTGTGTTAATATATGTTGAGTGGTGTTGTGTGTAGTTGTGTGTAGATGTGTGTCTGTGTCGAGGTGTGTGTGTGTGTTCATGCATATTGTGTGATGTGTGTGTCGACAT